TCATTGACAGTTTCGCACCGAGCCCAAGCAGATCCCTATTGGTGATCCTACCAGATTCACAATCTGAGCACTGCCACTTTCATGCTCCCAACTTTGTGGGAGGAGTTTTCCCCCCTCCCCCTCCCCCTCCCTGTAGCACGGTGTAATCTCAGTGCTGTCAGTGTTAAATTCTGGAATAAGAAATACCCGCCATGAACTCCTCAGGTTCCTGCAAACACATCAGACGCTCTGGATGACATCTACGTTTCCCCATCTGCAGTCAGCACGGATTCTTCTTAGGTGCGCAAAATTCATTCCGAGCGCAGCTGAGGCCCATCACAAACGCACCTGACAAATGAGGATTTGTGCTAAATTTATAAAGTGCAACGTGTTGGTCAGTTTTTCTGTCCCGGTGCATGAAATTTGCCTCTGCACCCGTGCTCCGCCATGGATTCTTTTTTTAACTCTGGAAGCTGTGCTAGAACCCCTGGCAGGTTTTGCTGCTATCTGAGGTTTCCATTCACTTCCTGTCCTGCTGACAAGGTTTTATCAGACAGGAAGTGAGGGCAATACAGGAAAATACATTATTTTGTTAAGTATTAGAAAGCTCGGGCTCCTATTAGACTTTTTTATTTCTTGGTTACTCGGTTTCAGCACCATGGACAGCCATTGCAGGCCGATAAATAAAAGGACTCCTCTGTTTTGAGAAGATTCACCCAAATATTGCAACAAGGATTCGACCAGAAACATGAAATTAAAGTGATATTAAAAGAGAACTATGTGGTCAGTGTTTTCCCCCATAGTTCTCCTTAGGGTAACGGGAGGACACAAACTAGCGTCCTCCCGTCACCCTAGGCTCAGTATGTAGGGAGCTACAGCTCACGGTATACTGAGACCACCGCAGCTGATCCCGACTTAGATGTCAAGATCCGCCCAGCTGCGTGAGTGACAGCTGGCTCTGCCTATCTAGAGCTGTACCCGCCCCCTCCCCCATCCGTTCCGCCAGTCAGCGCTGGCGGAGGGGGGGATCCATCCCCTCCCCTGTCACGGCAGAAAGCTGTGACAGGATCGAGAGGTGAGCGCACGCCGGTATGTGTTCTCTCACCTCCCGATCTCATTGTCTCATTGTCATTGACAGTCTCATTGTCACAGGTCGGCTAGAACTATGAGGTGAGTGAAAAGCCCCCCCCCCTCATAGTTCTCCTTTAAGGCTTTTCCCTCATAGTTCTCCTTAGGGTAACGGGAGGACACAAACTAGCGTCCTCCCGTCACCCTAGGCTCAGTATATAGGGAGCTACAGCTCGCGGTATACTGAGACGCCGCAGCCGGGACGGATCCCGACATTACTGTCTGGATCCACCCAGCTGCGTGATTGACAGCTGACTCTGCCTATCCAGAGGCAGAGCCAGCTGTACCCGCCCCCGTTTCGCCAGTCAGCGCTGGAGGATTGGAGCGGGGGAATCCCTGCAGGGAGCCGTGAGTGACAAGTCGCCACTCTGCAGGGAGATGATCGAGAAGTGAGCGAGCGACGGTATGTGTTCCCTCACTTCCTGATCTATTGAGCTGACGTGTGACAGTTTCATTGTCACACGTCGGCTACAACTAGGATGAGTGATTTTTCCATAGACACACACAACCCATGGCAGGCCACGCCCCTTCCCTCTTTGTCTTTGATTGATGGCAGAATGGGCCTATGGCTCCTCTTCCATCAGTATCCTCCCCCTGCAATCCGGAAGTTCGGGGTACAGAGGATCGCTTTGGGACCGGCGGCGGGGAGGAGCGCAGCGGACCGGTAAGTGTGGAGGGGACTGGGGTAAAAAAAAAGGTGCTTGGCTGTTTTTACCTTAAAGGAGAACTATGGGGAAAAGCCCTGACCTCATAGTTCTCCTTTAATGCAGTGAACGCAGAGAATGCATTAAGGTTAAAAAAACGCCCCCAGACCGTAATACTACTTTAACCTTAGATACTCAGATGACATTTGCATCAGCAACATCCGACTTCATAATCAATATTGGCCCATCAACTGCCGGCGTAATCAATAGAGCGAATGCCGGCAGAGCTGCGATTCCAGGAGAATCTTTAGAAGAGTCTTTTGGACTAATATTCACTGGGTGAATCTTTGATTAACGTACCCTGATGTACCCGAGATGTGATCCAGTTCTTAACCACATGAAGACCAACATGTTCCGCCCCCTTCCTGTCCCGGCCATTTTTCAGTATTCAGCGCTGAGGTACGTTGAGGCTTAGTGAGAGAGGGGATTACAGGTATGGTGGTGAACGGAGAAGGGAGGGTGCTGTCCATGTTGGGATCTCTTCCTGCGAGGCAGCTGTGATTGGTCACCGCGATCACATGCTACAAACCAGTTTAATTGGCTCTGTACCTTGTTTTGTGAACTTTACCGTCCAATGGACATTGTGCTCACCGTGAACTGCCCCCTAGTGCGCGCACGAGCAGAGGAAAAAAGGCGTACAGATACGGCAACCCGCTCTCTCTCCTCCCCCAACCAACTAATCGTTGATGAGAATAGTTGCCAACTATTCTCATCATCGATTATTGTCGATTTAGTCGATTAGTTGTTGCAGCTCTAGTTACAGCATAATTAAAGCCTATTAATCCCCAATGTTATTCAGTGATGGCAAGTCTCCGCACTATGGACAGAATATTAATGTTTGGCCTCAAATCTTTCTTGCTTTCCTGAATCTAAATACACTTTCCCCGTTACCTCCAAAACTCGCGTATCTACTATAAAATGCGCCTATGGCGTCCCGCCCAGCTCCTGGCAACCAGTGACGTCACTGGTTGCCAGGACCTTGGCAGGACTCCTGCCAGAGTAAAAACACAGTCAGCTGTCTCTGTGGGTCGGCGATCTTTCTCTAACCCATGGAGTGGTGCCATATGCGCCATGCCCTGAATACGCCAATGTATCTGGCTGCTCTGCTAGTTTTCAATGACTACATCTCCCATCATGCTGTGCATTAGGTTGATTAACTGGGATGTGTCAGTGGCAGACAGTGGGTGGGGATTTGCATAGTCTAGTGGGAGGAGCTAGGCAGGGCTAGGTGTTGTCTTGTGGGTCAGTGACAGACAGTGGGTGGGGATTTGCATAGTCTAGTGGGAGGAGCTAGGCAGGGCTAGGTGTTGTCTTGTGGGTCAGTGACAGACAGTGGGTGGGTATTGGCATAGTCTAGTGGGAGGAGCTAGGCAGGGCTACGTGTTGTCTTGTGGGTCAGTGACAGACAGTGGGTGGGGATTGGCATGGTGTAGTGGGAGGAGCTAGGCAGGGCTAGGTGTTGTCTTGGGTGTCAGTGACAGACAGTGGGTGGGTATTGGCATAGTCTAGTGGGAGGAGCTAGGCAGGGCTAGGTGTTGTCTTGGGGGTCAGTGACAGACAGTGGGTGGAGATTAGCATAGTCTAGTGGGAGGAGCTAGTCAGGGCCAGGTGTTGTCTTTTAGGTACAGGATTGGTGGAACTAGGCTGGTCTCGTTGTGATTGGCAAGCTAGGAGCACAGCCCACCGTGACATCACCTTGTGGCGATGTATTCGCAAAGAATGCAGCCGACGCAGCTGCCATGATTTTGCAGACTGAGCTGCAGGGGGGTTGCGCGTGCCGGCGAACCATCCGGCGTCCCGCCCAGTTCATGGACGTCACTGGTTGCCAGGAGCTGGACGGGACGCCAGCCAGAGTGTAACTAGGAGCCCTTAGCAACCTGAGACACCCTGTTCAGAAAAGGGGCGGCAGGTGCCCTATTGAGAAGCCAACAGGGGCAACCCAGGCTGCCTCCGTATAGGGACGGCCCTGTGTAGGAACATATCTATCTGAAGCTTTTATTGTAAACCTTGAATGGCATTTCAATCACTGCGCTCGGCGCTTCCTTATGACTGTTGTACAGTATGCATGCCTATATTTTCCTCCGAGCCCCCTGCGACATGATGCGTGGGGCATCATGTCCCCCTCATGCTTACACTGAAAAAAGCAATACCGGCGCCCCCGGTTTGCAGAGAAATCCGGCTGTAAAGTTCACTGGTACACCATAGAGGCAGCTCCCACCGGTCAACAACGACCATCGATCTGGGAAACAAAAGCAACACAGAGCGCCTCCATAGTGTAAAACTTTTATTTGATGAGTACAACACGCAAGTGAAAATGTACTTACACGAAAGCCAATGATCGTAAGCGTAAAAGGAAACGATAAAATATAAAATCTCCAGCAGGGGAAGTCTGAGGGGATCTCCAAATCAGCGTCCTCTGCTCCCGTATGTTTCTTAAAAAGGTCTACGCGTTTCAGGGGGACGCCCCCTTCATCAGAACCTGAGGTAACTTTCCTATGTCCTGTTCTTTTATTTATTTGGGAGATGACCAATCATAAAGGTTTAGTCTTTGACACAGGTGTTTCAGCCAATCCCCAGTGATTGAGATTTTTGCTGTCTTCCGTCTGACAGGCAGACAGCTGGTGTTGGTAAAGACTCATTTTTAACCTTTTCAGTTGGAAAAAATTACTATTTCTTGATGCATATAAAAAATATATATATCCCAACCGGATAATAGGTGTTTATATCATCAAGGGACTATTTTAATTGAGAGATTTCGAAGGAAACAAAAAAAGGGTGTCCTATAATGCTGTTTGTCATCGCTGCGATTCCTGGAAAAATGACATCAGCGATGCCGGTTAACCTTTTGTGTATCCAGCACAGGGAGGACCCGACAGAAGTGCGTCCCGCTCCGAGGCCCGCGTGCAGCTGACATGTTCCATGACGCGGAGTCCTCCTGGCGGCTGCCCCCCTCCCCCCCCGAGGGGAATGTGCGCTTGGGCCTATCCCTCCGGCACGGTACGGGGGGGAGGGGGGGATTGTAGGCTTCTCTATGGTGCCGGTGTTGTTTCTGTGCTGCTCAGGGTTAACCTTCCAGCTGCTCCCCGGTGACATCATTGTGACATCATTGTGACATCATTGTGACACTGACGAGGTTAATTGCTTCATAATTGTTCAGCGGTTGAAATCCTTAACTATCGATTATGACAGACTGGGCCGGCCGGGCGTTGATTGCCATTGTCAGCATGACAGCGGAGCAGCCGTCCTGCATCTCCAGTTCCTCGTCAACGAGGTGAGCGACGCCTTTAACACCTTCTTTTTTTTGCCTTACCGATGGATTGCGCAATCAGCCGAATCGCACGGAAATCTGAAGTAACTTCGTGTTAAATTATCTCAAAAAAAAACAAAACGGTTTGTTGTCAAAATTTGTAAACAGTGAAAGTCAATGAGGGACGACCTTGGCGCTCCAGCTGTGCCAAAAACTACAAATCCCACAAGCCCCTCGGCCTCTGGGAGCCATGCCTGTTGCTGTCGGAGTTTTTCCAGTGCCTCGTGGGATTTGTAGTTCTACAACAGCTGGATTGCCGCGGTTTGCCTATCCCCTGATCCATGTAAGGCCCTGGTTCACACCTGTACGTTTTGTAGCGCGTTCAACGCTCTACGAACGCTCTACAAAACGCTCAAACACGCAAATCCCATTGTTTCCTATGGGCATGGTTCACACCTTCCCGTCTGAAGGCGCTACAAAACGGCCCACGCCTGAAAAGGTACATGAGCTTCTTTGCGGCGTTTTTGTAGCGCGTTTCCATTGGGATACAGCCAAGTAGCCCTCGGAAACGCGTGTCTGTCGGACACTTTTTTTTTACAGCGAATCGCGGTAAAAACGCACGTCACGAAACGCGCGACAAACGCGCATGTTCGATACGCCTAGGTGTGAACAGTCCATTATAGGGATGCTATCACCTTGCTGATTCAAAGTGTAAGGCTCTGTTCACACCTAGGCGTATCGAACATGCGCGTTTGTCGCGCGTTTTGTGATGCGCGTTTTTACCGCAATTCACTGTACAAAAAACGCGCGACAAACGCACGTTTCCGAGTGCTACTTGGCTGTAGCCCCAGGTGGTATAACAGATAAGGTCCTGCACATCCTATATATACAATATGAAGGTGTTGTAACTATATAGTAAGACCTTATGTCTAGGGCTGCAACAACTAATCGACATAATCGATTATAATCGATTATTGAAAAAGTTGTCAACTTTTTCAATAATCGATTAATCGGCTTCCGATCAGTTGGCCCTGTTCACGGCTCCACACACGCTGCGCGCCGCACCTCCTCCCCAACTCACGCCCACCGCTGCCAGACCCGCCCGCATCAACGCTCTACACGCCACACCTCCTTCCCGCCTCACACCCACCACCCGCCCACATCCACGATCGGCACAGGGACGCGGGGAGATGTAGTGAGGAGGTGTGGGGGGATGACAGCCGCCGACAGACAGGCCCGATCTCAGAAGCAAGTTGCTGGAAGACTGCTCAGGTAAGCCTGCACTTTCCCACACATGGTGCTCTATAATGTATTGCTGGGATTTGTATTCCTCTATAGCTGATGGTACATTGTGCTGTATATTATACATAGGAATACAAATCCCAGTAATACATTATACACTGTATGTATAATGTATTGCTTTGATTTGTTGTACTCCTCTATAGTTGGTGATATTCTGCACTGCGCTGTATAGAGGACTACAAATCCCAGCAATAATACATTATACAGCGCCATGCGGAATTCCACCAGCTATAGAGGAGCACTACAAATCCCAGCAAAAATACATTATACAGTGGTGCAATGGCGAATATCACTAGCTATAGAGGACTACAAAACCCAGCAACAGTACATTATACAGCGCAATGCAGAATACCGCCAGCTATAATGTACTATTGCTGGGATTTGTTGTATTCCTCTATAGCTGGTGATATTCTGCATTGCGCTGTATAATGTACTATTGCTGGGATTTGTAGTCCTCTATAGCCGGTGCCATTCTGCATTGATTGCTGTATAATTATAAACTTTCCATTTCACTATATTGCACACCACACTTTTTTTTTTTTACTTCTACCGCTCCAAGCTTGCTCCTGTGATGGACTACAATCTCAATACAAACTAGTAGTCCATCACTGAAGCCATTTTTCAAAATTTATTTTATTGTTTATCAGATTAACCGATTAATCGAACTTAATAATCGGCTAACTAATCGATTTTGAAAATAATCGTTAGCTGCAGCTCTACTTATGTCAGAGTCTCTATCCCGTTATCCAAAAAATGAGCCAAAACGATCAGAGAGTTCAAAAATAATGTATTTACATTGCAAGAAGCACCAAGCAATATATACACATGGCTCTGCCCAGACTGTCACCCAGAATAGCTTCCCTATGCTATACATACTATTGCTCCAGGTGCATAGTACTACTACTACTACTACTACCACCATGTTGAAAATACTATTGCTCCAGGTACATATAGTACTACTACTACTACCATGTTATACATACTATTTTTCCAGGTATATAGTACTACTGCTACTATGCTATACATACTATTGGTCCAGATACATAGTACTACCACTACTACTACTACTACCATGTTATACATACTATTGCTCCAGGTACATAGTACTACCACTACAACTACTACTACTATGTTATACATACTATTGGTCCAGATACATAGTACTACCACTACTACTACTACTACCATGCTATACATACTATTACTCCAGGTACATAGTACTACTACTACTACCATGCTATACATACTATTGCTCCAGGTACAGAGTACTACTACTACTACCATGCTATACATACTATTGCTCCAGGTACATATAGTACTACTACTACTACCATGTTATACATACTATTGCTCCAGGTACAGAGTACTACTACTACTACCATGTTATACATACTATTGCTCCAGGTACATAGTACTACTACTACCATGTTATACATACTATTGCTCCAGATACATAGTACTACTACTACCATGTTATAAATACTATTGCTCCAGGTACATAGTACTACTACTACCATGTTATACATACTATTGCTCCAGGTACATAGTACTACTACTACTACTACTACAATACTATACATACTATTGCTCCTGGTACATAGTACTACTACTACAACAATGCTATACAAACTATTGCACCAGTTACATATAGTACTACTACTACTATGCTATAGATACTATTGCTCCAGGTACATATAGTACTACAACTACTACCATGTTATACATACTATTGTCCCAGGTACATAGTACTATTACTACTACTACAATGTTATACATACTATTGCCCCAGGTACATAGTACTACTACTACTACTACAATGTTATACATACTATTGCCCCAGGTACATAGTACTACTACTACTACTACAATGTTATACATACTATTGCCCCAGGTACATAGTACTACTACTACTACTACTATG